GGGGGGGGGGGGGAAGGAAGGTTGGAGAGTTAGAGGGAGGGAGGACAGGGAGAGCTCCCTTCTCAATGTGGTTGCTAGAACCCTGTGCACTAGCTCGCCTGTACTGCTCACCATACCAGAGGACTGTTCTCACCCACCTCTGAGTGGTGGCTCAATTTCCCAGACCCCTACTGACCTAGGAGACCTCTGGCCACAATGGCTGCTTTTTGCTGGGAACTCCTATGACCCTGCACTGGCACTTAGAATATTCCAGCCCTGAGTAGGGAATGGACAGGTTCCTGGTTCAGCTGCTAACCTACAGGTTGGTGCTTCAAACCCACATAGCAGCACCACAGAAGAGAGGTCTGGCAGGCTGCTCTCATAAAGCTTATCGGCAAGAGCAACTCTACTCTGTGACACCCTAGTTGGAAGTGACTTGACAGCAGCAGGTGTTTTTGGTGTAGGGCTTCATCACTCAATAAATGTATCCTGGCCTCCCCAACTAGCAGAGGCCCCATTCAAAGAGGGCTGTCTGCCTGCCATGGTGGAAGGGCTTTGGGTGCATGGGCTGAGGGCCTGTGGGGAAGGGCCCATGCTCCTCCTCAACTCCCCAATGTCTTACCTGGTGCCCCAGGTACATTGTCCAACCTGAGTCTCATTTGTAAAATGGGGAGGAACAATAGTCTCTCCCTAGTAGGACGGAGAGCATTGGAGCAGAGGGCACACAAGGCCCGCAGAGGTGATGCCCTACAGGCCTAGCTGGGACTGTTACTGTAGAGGCCATCAGCAAATGCTGCTGATAATCTGGAAACACTACCAAAAACACCAGGTGTCAGTCACCCAATAAACCCCTCCTCATAATTTTCTAGTCCTTTAAGTCCATAAGGAAATTTGTATTCTTCCTTGGATTACAACTCTGGAACAATGAGGTGGCGGTGCGTATGAGGATGTTGTTGTTGTCAGGTGCCATCGAGTCAGAACTGACTCATAGCGACCCCATGCACAGCAGAATGAAACAATGTCCGATCCTGGGCCAACCTCACTAC